GGAAATCTGGGGTACAGTGCAGCATCACAGGTAAACTAGGCCAATAAGGAACTAGAAGGAATAATGATGGCATTGGTGATTGGTTTAACATATAGGCCTGGACTGGCGATAGCAAATACTGGATGTTTTAATGTTCATATTTTCAGACGAGAGTGTGAGTTTGGGGATCAGCTGACTAACAAATTTCAAGGATCAGGATGGTGGTAGAGAAGCTCTTGTCCTGTGGCTTTGCTCTCTGCACCTTGCACGGCGGCTTCTTTTTGGACTCCAGAAGTTATGGAAGATAATTTGGAGTTGCTGAAGCAAACTGTAATCCAAGCTGCTTGTCAGGTGGAAGATCTGCTACTCTGGGGTTAGCTGCTTGTTAAATGAATTTATTTAGCATATTGGCAATTAACCATGGTGCAGCAAGGAAAGGATTGTTGCTATACAAAAAGAGCAAGGTTGGCTTGCAAGGCAGAGGAAGTGGTTCCGTTTTAAAGGTTAATGACTAATTGGACAAATAAATAAGAAGCAAATGCAGCAAATTAGGACAGACCTGTCTTCATATGGGGAAGCTGTAAAATTCTTAAAACCTACTTTAAACAAAACGTAATTAGAGTTTCAAAGAAGTAGATACCATTCCTTTTGGAAAGAGAAAATTACATTTCTGCTTGTTTTTTTCTTCTTCTTTTCACACACCTCTGAGAGTTCATGTATGACGTATGTAGTATTTAGAGGTGGGGGGGAAGGCAAGGATTAGATGGGTGGGTCAGTGATGTAAAAATGGTGGGGAAGATCTGGCATGTGACATCAAAATTTTCTGATTCCCCACCCCTTTTGAGGGGTGGGGGTGAGAAGACTCTTACAATTTTACAATTACATTTAGCCTGCAATAGCATTTATACAGTTCATGTTTTCTTTTCATCAACATCACATAATGATTTTGGGCCACTGTAGTTTGAGTGAGTTCCAGGAGCCGCGCGCACACACACACATTTGGAAGCTATGTGGGTCCTTGTGACCTCAAATCATTGTCTTTAGTACTAGGTCTGTTCATTTCCTAGTTCCATGCTGCAAATGTTGGTTTTTAAAAATAGCATCCACGGTCTCATATGAGTAATTTATGTTCTAATAATGGTACGAGAGTATCACTGGATTTATATATTTAAATCACAGGGTTTCCAAAATATCCCTGGTTTTGTGTTTATTGTTATTTGTGGTGTTCTTTCTGCTGACTGCCCTTCTTTTGTGTCTGCATAAAAACCGTTGCTTGGAATCTGGCAGAAGGTTTTAGATCGATCCAGTTGATGCTGGAATATGAGACAAGTTGGCCCTGTGATTGGTTCCCACTTTTGATCACAGGGTATTAACAGAAAATGAAATCATTAGGGGGCAGAATATAAATATTATCTCTGTGTGTGTTCAAACCATTCTTTAAAATAGGTATCATCAATTAATACAAGGCCTGAGAGAAGTTGGCTCTGCAGTTGGCGGGGGGGGCATAGGAAGTTGGTTTTGATCCACCATTAGAAAGGCTCAGGATCAATCTGGTGGCAGCAAGAATGCCTTTGAACGTCTCTTGCCATTACCTGTATGGACAGAATCAGATTCATTACTGAATGGGCCTGAAAGCCATTGGCATCACCAAGTTTTTGCTTTTGCTGTGTATGTGTGGGATTGAATCTATTTTCCTGAAAGGTAGAACTGTCTGGTGTTCTCCCCTTATAAAAATAACAGGAAATGTTTATAGTATTTTCTCCCCAACCTGGTACATAGATACTGCATCATGCAATAAACATATGGTAAGCCATCAACAATCAACACAATCAAACTGATTAAGCATATCATTGTAGAGAGAAACCTCTACCCATACATACCTACTGAACTCAATGCAGCTTGTTTTAGAACAGACATATGAAGCTGCACTTTAAGGATATTTTCAATTTTCTCTTAGACTGTGAATCTAAGGACACAAGCAGGGAATAAATAAGCTTCACTAGGCATTGCAAGCTTATATTTCCAGCAAATCAAGGCACGTGTTGTAGTTTCATGACTTTGAAAGTTGTGTGTTTTAAAAAGCAGCTGCTTTAAAATAATTCTTTGCTCCCTTTCCAAACAAAAATTCCAAAGTGGCCTATAGCCCCGCTGCAGTGATCTGTTTTAAGCAAGGTTTTAAAATGCATTTTTTTTTTCAAAATGTCAGAATGATATTTGTCTGGAGAAGTATTAGAGAATATTCTTTTAGAACACAGTCAAGGGAAATGGGGATCAGCAACAAAGAAGCAAAGAGGAAGCTCAGAGTCACTTCATTCTTGATCATCATGGTTTCATTCTGGTTCATATCTATGGATTTTTTTTTTATTTTAAAGAAGGAACAAATGGAATGAATAGGGCTAAAAATGAACTTGGCAGGACAGCTTGTACTGATAAAATCCAACTTCCCAACACTGATTTGCTCTATCTGCAGATGGCCTTTGCCTGTTGCCAGTGCAGTGTCAGGCCTGGGTACCTACAAGACCATCTTCTCCAGACTGAGGATGCCCTTCTAGTGAAATTGGCAGGGGAGGAATTGCTGAGTACCCCCTGTTTCAGTGATGGCCCCCTTTCTTTGGGTCCCCAAGATATCTGGTCGTCTTCCACTCTATTGAGCATCTGAAGGGCTGTGAAGGCTTCACTTTCTGAATTTAGCCAACCGCCAGGATGGGGCTGTCATAATTTGTGGGGTGTTTCTATGTTGGATTTATTTTATTTTAAACTGTTCAACATTCTGTAGGATGCTTAGGGCCTATTTAGTGATATGGATGCCTTAGCCAATAAAATAAATCATTATTTTCTTTCAACTGGGAAACTTCTCAAATTTGAGGGCCAGTTGTTCTTGCTCCAGGGCTCTGTGGGTGACTGGAACAGTGCAGCTCAATTGGGATTAATGATACTCTACACTGCGTGGTGGTGTATGGTCCAGAGTGAAGAAATACAATAATGTTTATTGCCAAAAGTGGTCTGGAATGGGAATTATTAGCTTGTTGTACCTGTGTAGCCATGAAGGTTTAGGAACACACAGAGGTTCTCCATTCCTAAGTACAGCTACGGCTTTTGGAGGCAGAGGGATACAGATGTTCAAGGGTGACCATTACCCTCAGCAACTCCTTCAAAGAAAGCCATCATTCTACATGCCAGTGACTAAAGTCTTGTCAAGAATGAGAAGGATAAATATTTTATTGATCATCAATTTGTTGACAAGATTTGCCCATCCCTCTAAATCCTTTGTGAGCCTGTCATGTTTCGGGTCCGGGGTATGAAGTCAATTACAGCTTATAAATCTTGCTCTCTGGCTTAGTGCCAGGGCGCAGCCCTGATCATTGTTGCTCATCCAACAATGCATGGTTAAAACAAACCAGGGCTGATCAAGATAACCTAGCCACCCTCTTTGGGGACTTGAGCATTTCTTCAGAACTGGCTGCAAGTTGAAGGACCTAATGTTCTTTGGGCCTTCTTTTCTCTTGGCACTTGGTGGAATTTACCTCTAGGAAAATCAAACCTTTTGGAGAGCGCAAAGCTTGCCGAGGTCTAGCAAAAAGTAGAAACCTTACTGTTCTGAAGAGGCGTGCACGCGTTTTCAAGAGCGTTCGTTTCAGCACCTGGATAGCTCCCGGGGCCAAGTCGCCCCTCTCTCCAGCGCTCCTCCCCAAAAACTTGCTCTCCATCCGGATTGCCTCCTCCCGTGGTCCTTTCCCAAAGCTTCCATTGCTCTCGTGTCCCAT